TCGGGTCTTGAAATTCTGGTCGCTTAAAGTTGAACTTATCTGTCAGAATCCGAGCAGAATTGACCTGCCCACTTTGAAAGTTAGAGACACTTCGGTCTCATCACCAATAAAACTTTCCATGTAGTAACACACTCTATTCAAGCAGTAAGATTGTGACTTCATAAAATAGACCGCATATGCATGTGAACACGATACTACAATCCCTTCGCTATATATTTCCCATAACGCGCGTAGAGCGTACATAGATGTATTTTCATGTAGTTGCTTGATGTAGCCGATAACAAGTACCTCCCAAGACAAATCGTTCCCACCGTAGGAAGATTGAAGCAATATATGCCGCGAAATCGCACCGCGTAGTCAAGCAAGTATTGGAAATTTAACGTCATGTATTTCATCAAGAAAGGTGAGAGAAGGTGGTACATCCAGAAGATGCGAGTACTTTTTGCCGCTAAAGCGGTAGACCTTCTGTCGAAAGTGGTAACAATCACCATTCCTTTATTGCCACGAGCTGCGATAGTATACTGGTCAGAGACCGATTTGTCAGCAGAAGACAGGAAGTTAAATAAGAGCAGACGACGAATATTAAGTAAAAGTTGCCAAAAAAGTTTGCATCCTTACTGCGCAAGCGACCTATCAATCGGGTTATGAGTCTAGCCCCGCAATTTCTGCCTTCGATTACGACTCCGCCCTTTCGATGAATATATTTTGCCTCAGCCGCAGCAATTAGTTTGATCGGTACGAACCTGCACACACATGGTGCTCGAGGAACGTGGCCTGGTGGAAATATGGGCAAGTTAAGCTTAAGCACTGCCCCTCGAGCCAAGCTGATGGCGCACAATAGGAAAATATGTAGTGCTATGGCGACCGTCCACTCATCAATAGAGCTTTCGTCGTTGCTTTTAGTCCTGATGGTGAGTATGATGCATGGTCACAATTGGAGTCCCACTTCGAGAAAAGGATAAAGCCAACCAGCTCTATCAACGTCGACACCTCTTTGCGAAAATGATGAATTAAGGTAGAGCGTAAGATTATGATACTGGCGGAATAGCTTATTGGGTAGAAATCTCCAGTCTACGCTTCTCACATTTATCAGCGAGTTGTGCCAGCTCCTGATAACGACTTTGGATTCGACAGCAGACTCGCTAACATCGGATCTTGTGACATGAAGCGCATGGACCAAATTTTTATGCCGCGCGCTGTCAATGTCAAGCGATTGTGTCGGTTGAAAGTAGATGAAGCAAGAACAACAAGCGTGAGCAAAAGCTACAAGTTATTGGTGCAGCTGTGGAATGGAATTACAAAGTGCTTAAAGTATATTTTTGAAACTGGGTGACGGCAGAGGCAACAACGGGCGAATATCGTGCAGAGTTAACACCGCTCAGGTGAATTTTCTACTTTTATTGGTCGTACCGGTAGTTCTACCATGCTTTGTCACGATTGGCTGATCAACTCGGATGCGACGCGCACAACACAATTTGAGGAATTACAGGGCAGTCTTGCCTCCGAGCGTGTTTATCGCTGAATTATTTCGGTCGGTACAGATAGTGCAGATGTCAACACCACACGGGAGATTGAATGATCTTCTTTCGACCGTATGGCATAATGCAAAGCTTACGCGCAGTCATTCTTTTGTAGAAACTGCTCTGACTATATCGACCTGGTCACTGTCGAGCGCGATCAGTGTTTCCTGAAGCAAATGGAATTTGTTTAAAGCTTAGTGTGCGCTGAATTGTACTGACAAGGTTAAAGTGGCTAGCGCATCGAATTGCTGTGTTGATTCCAGCTTATACCCCTAACATCTTTGACTCAGTAACATTGGTGGCGGCAGAGAAAGATACTATTATTAATTAACGTCACCAAATCCGCTGAAGAAAAGGTACGATTGTTGGCAGAGGAAACAAAGTTGGGTGAGCTTATGAACACCTCCTCACAACATGTCGCACACAACCTAGGAACAGGTTTTAGCAATATATGTGGTCTACATAGATTTGCCAGCTTGCACCAGCAGACGCAATTTCGTAGCATGAATTAACGAGAAGCCTCATTTTGTGTCGGCAATCTGCTTTAATTTAAAGTCGAAAGTGGCTGAAAAGGATTTGATTGGAGCTGTTTATAGTCGTTCCCGCGCTCGTGCGGCCTTTGCATGCCCATGCGTCTGGGATTTTTGATCACACCACGAGCAAAACGCGTGCGAGATTGTCACTTTGAGCACTATCAATAATCACAAGATATAACCGCCCTGGCAAAAATCGTTCGAGAGAGACTCATTGCGCGCGCAATTGACAAAATTAGAGTTAGCAACGAAAGGGAACCTTAACATCGATGGTGATGAAACTGCGGAACTAAAAACTGGCAAATGTTCCGCTGAGTATATGCCTCAGCTCACCGAATGCATGATGAAGATAAGCCACCGTACTCGTCTTAAGGCTTTACAAGATAGGTTGCTGAAAAGTAGACTTTTGCCAAGGGCGTCGTCACACGCTTGAATTCACAAAGCTTAAACAAGAACCTCGAGGTGACACCGGTTGAATCCAGCTCCTGTTGTGTACAGCCCCGCTTCTCTCCATGAGGCAGCTGTAGAGACCAACAACCACGCATCTTTTTACCACTTTGCTGCTCGCTTTCCTTAAGCAGAAGTCGTGCTGCGGCAGGTGACCCTGCGTTGTTTTCAAGTATGCCAAAATCTTTGAGTGCATCAGATGATAAGCCGCCACGGCATCAGGGCAATATTTCAAAATTGGGATCTCAAACTCCCATGTTTTTTCAGAAGACTGGCTTGTCTTCCAATTTATCAGGCTCTAGTGATAGCCCTTGAGACTTTCCAGTCAACCAAAAACTCTGTATATGGCCGCACCTTGCTTATCGAACTGCGCCGGCGAGGATCATTCTTTATTTGGCTAGCTTTCTTGGTTGTGGTAGCACATCGGCTCACACAGCGTACATCCGAGCTTAAAATAAGCCGGATCTCTGAGACACTCTAAATTTTGCCATGGCACTGCGTGGCTTGGAGCACTCAGTGGCCTGAAGCAATGCTGCTGCCTTGGAACAAAGGATAGCTCGGCTATAGGCGATGGTGGAGTGCGACAACGGAGCTTTTCAATTCAACTAGCGAGGGACTAGTGAGGTTCTGAAAATGCCACGAAGATTACAAAATTAACTCGCAATCTTTTCGCAACGGTATAGTATCACCCAATCCTTTTTTTGCTACGACCCTTATCGATTCAATGTTGGTCGTAATATAGTCTTAAAAATGCCGACACTGCTTGTGTAGATCAATTATAAAACCCTTTGGATCACTGTATATTGTTGCGTGGTTTCGCCACCATGGCATCAAAATGATGTTGATGTTTGTGTTGGTACTCAGCAACAGCGTCTCGCACCCTACGTTTGACGCTCAATATTAATAAAGAAAAAATGCTGAATTTGCCTTGACGTTTGGCCTGGCTAATATTCGCAAGCCGAAACTATTCAACACCACTGTCAACACACCTATCCACTAAGATCAGAACCCCTGTAATGGAGGTATCAAGCACCTGAGATTTTGACAATTATTTAAATGGTGTAGATACTGAAAGGGATAGACTACGCTATTCAGCGTAAGCTTCATAAGTGGGAGCAACTGCTCCAGAACTGCAGTCTCTCCGCATAGTTTTTCAGGGATATCCCTTCCAAAGAACTTCGAACGTTTTATCTGAACATTTGTCTAAGAACAGGCGGCATTTTACTTTATTTATCGGGTGCCAAGCATTTGGAGCTACGTTTGCCAAACTTTGCGAAGCAGCGCGGATCTGTATCCAATACAACGAGCACTGGCAAATCAAGTTGGCGATACCCTTTGCCGTAGAATAGCTTCATCGGTCCCATACCGTAGTCAAAGTGAGATGTAATATCTTGATTCGACGGTTTAGAAAGAATACAATACTGAAACATAGGACGCGACTTTTCTAAGATACCGTTGATGGAGACGATCTACTGCGTCGACACCGTTGCACGCTCGCACAATTTTTTTATCCGCTGATACGATTTAGGTCACCAATACACAACACTCAACACGCAATTAAATATTCTCTTCCGATGTAGACATCTGAGGGATATCATATGCATCTTACAATATTCTGTATTTGATTTCCTCGCCTGAAGGCTCAATTAAATGCAGAGTGTCATGTGGGTCAGTGCTGTTATACGACAAGCTTTGGGGTAAAACATAGCGCTGAATAAAGCAATATGTAAATCTATAGACTCCTTGCATCCCAAAGTTCTCAGCAGCGCAGTATCAGTTGCATCTGATTTGTACGCTGTATATATCTCTTTCGATTGGAGATGTCGCCATCATACAGCAAAGACTGAGAAACACAACAGTGCATTCGCCACCACATCAAGCCGATCCAATTGTACATAATCTCAACTGTTTACTCGAAAGAAAGCACCAGCTATCTTGCTTTTCTTACGAGCGATGTGGAGACAATACAAACACGCATGATCTCTATAATTTTCAAACGACTTTGTACCAAACAGATGCACTTTATAGCTGTCCAAAGCATACGTTATTGCGAGCAGCTCCTTGTCATGACCTGGGGAACTCTTCTCTGCATCTTGGAATTGATGACTCAAATAATTGCAGAAACAGACAGACAACGAAGTTGGGGGTCTTCAACGTGACAACAGTGGCGTATACACGTCGGGTGAAATGGCTAAGCTTTGCAAGCGTCAAGGTAGCGAGCGGAAAGTAGTACTCCGGCACAGACCTTTGCTATACGGCATTGATAAGCAGATGAGCCGTACTCTGGGGAATTTGCACGTTGCGTGTTGACGCATACACGCTTGGCCAAATTGCACTGGGGTGAGGCTGTAATGGCGTCTACGCTCCGCGCAATCGTTGCCCCACAACTATCAACAGCTACAGCAGATCACCACAGGCGAGAAACCATTACTGATTATCCTGAATGTGATCTACTGCCATACCCTTGTACAGACCCGACACAAAAAACTCGCCACGTCATATGATTGAGCAGATATGTGTGTTTTACGGGGGCTCAGAGCGCGAGAAAGGGAATCTTATGCAAAACCGATGTATGCCAGTGAGCAGCAAACACTTCGCTGAAAAAGACGGCTACGTAAAAAATGAGGTTGTAGCGTGGACGACAAAGGTGTAAAAAAACTGAGCTTTACCTGACGAGAATGATTGTGAAGCCGAAGGCAATGACTCTGAATGTGGCTTTGAAATCTAATTTGGTTACACGACATCAGATGACATAATTGCTGGGGTGTTGAGGTTTTCAGACACGATTACTGTTATTCATACCAAACACCTAAATTAAGTCTTGCATGACGAATCCTTAACTAAGTACATAATTTGTTGACTTAGAAACATTGTTATTATTACTTGCAATGACCAGTTTCGCGACGTGGGAAGCTATAAAGATGATACCTTGGATATCATAATTGATGTAGGTGCAGTGGTCGGTCTCGCACTTCATAAAACCCAATTTTACTATTAAGATGGCAATAGTCTGAAATCTATATCCGCGGCGGCTGCTTTGCCATTGAAGCGAGGGCAAGAGATGGCTGTGTTATTCTGTGCTCCTCATCAATGTAGCCATCCCGTTGCATCAATCAGATGCCTTCGTCAAATCGACCATGCGTGATCACCATCATCACAACCATTTGATACACCTTTGAATGTACTTGGCTACCAAACTGAGCGGAGTCCTGATTGCTGAAAACTTGGCAATCGATGTGAAGGGTTATTCATGGAAATTGAACCAGCGATCGCATTTTGGTTTTGCAAACACCTTCCTCCATTAAGCCACGTTGCTAGAACCCATCGCAGAGGGTAGCATTCTTAGCACAAAGCCCACAACGTGGACAGCATCAAATTTATTATCTCGTCCACTTACGAGTATCGATTCTCTTTCAGCGTTTTGCTGTTTGGTTTGTGTAAATCCAGCACCTCAAAACTTCAACAGCCCAAAGCCATGTGCGAAGAGGGATGCAAACACAGAGAAAATATGGCTAGCGTGCCGAATCGGATTGCAGCCGGTTGCTTGATATACTTTATGGTTGAAAACCGACCGGACCTCGATGCTGAATTGATCGTTTTCCTTGAGTACGCAGTGGACTTTGTTCCGCACCAACAAATACTCAACGGATGGTTCCTTATATTCAAAGCACATGGACGTATGACAAACTATTAAATGGTGTTAAGCAACGATTGGAGTATAAACACAAGGCTACTCATATGTATTTTGGTTTGGTGATGTCAAAACTCGATGCAGTACAAGTGACAATGCTTTTATGATGATATCAGTTGACGAAGCAAAACATTGTGCACGATGATACCGCTCTTCGAACGAGCCGAAGTACACGACATAGAAGCATTTTGGCTTGTGCTAGACAAAACAAAATGAGGAGATTTGAAACGTTTGTAAGCAAACATAGTTTTTCGCGCTAGGCGCACCAATTAAATCAACATTCACAATCACTTTGTGCGCGAGGATTCATGTGCGATCACAGTACGACTCGAAAAGTATATGATGACAAGTCTGATGACCAAACAATTACTGCTGTGTAATTCGAAAACCTCCAGGACAAGTAAACAGTCATGTTTTAAAACGCTGCCTATTCTCGTATAGTGCTAAAAAGGAACGTCTCAAGTAAACAGTCATGTTTTGAAACGCTGCCTATTCTCGTATAGTGCTAAAAAGGAACGTCTCAGGTAAACAGCAACTAATATTCAGCCTGAGGTCTAGGGCTTGCAGCTACTTTCGCAAACTCAGACCCGAGTAAACCTCTGTCGATTTCGCCAATCACAGCGAAAGTGACCTTTTTACGCTTAAGATAGGTGCGGCTCGCGCAGAGACATTTTGCGTCCGTCTTACCTCCTTGGAGAAGCTTTAAAAGTTGAATTTTAACCAGAGTGCCTTCCAACCCTATCGAAGAAAAGAAGATAACATGCGCAATAGACCTCAGCTCTGCGCCCATGCTAAGCAGTGCCGCGGTACTACTGGATGTTACGTTTGAGGGCAGCTTCAAAAATCGGCGCAATGCGCACCTCTACCTTCTCAACCAAAACTATGAAGGTTCAGGTTCTCAGTGTTGTAGAGTCAAATCTTCGCTGGAACGTCGAGTTCCGGCAGCTGCAGGGTGGCATATTCTGGAAAGTACTGGGCTCAATTGTATCTTGTAAAGCTTGAGTTCAATTTTGAAGAGTGTCTCTTTCTTGGAGAAATTTAGCTCACATCCAGTCTTTTGGTTGTCTACAGCAATGCCCGAGTGTGACGAGATATAGCTTAGATACATTAAGTATCTAAGCTACACTGAAACCTTCCTATCATCGTTAGGACGTTGACGGTGTCGAACGTGATCACGCCATAAATTTAGTTTCAGGATACAATTTCATCCAAGGCTGAGCGACTTGCATGTCATGAGCTATGGACTAACTGAAAGTTCCATAGTGCGTGTCACGCGCTTTATCTTAGTTATCTTAGTGGATGTTTACGAGACATGATCTGACCTCTGCTAGTGAGCAGAAGCTCGTTTGGCGCGTGTATGAAGCTACATTTGTTTGCGCAGAAGATATGAAGCTGTACAAAATTTATATTGCAAAGTGTCCTGACCAGATTGGGCAGAAGCGGCAAGTTACGATCTTTACCGCTCAGCTCCGATAAAATATCTGATATTTGTGGTCTTCAAGGTATGTTTCTGGCAGGACGGCTTATAGCAATCGTATGGGGATCCGGAGTCTGGCGGGTAAAAGCAGCTGTGTATCGAGCTCATCGTGCCAAAACCGAGTGCTAAGGCAATTGTCAGTCAACTTTGATAAAGATGACTTAACCATATATTTATATAATGTCATTGCTGAGTCAGCACTACCGTGAGACGTGCTCACCGTGTAGACCAGTGAAGCGAATCTGTTTTACGGAATCTAGGATTTATCCTGTGAAGACGAGTCCTGTGAAGACGATTCAGGGTGGCATAGCACTGCGGCCTAAAATACAATACTCTGTGGAGTAAGGTGTATTCGAGTCGCGAGAAAAAACGGCGCCGAGCTACTGACATCATGAACAGTCTTCCATTTTTGTCGTGATGTTTCAGTTTGAATGTGTCAGCAAGCAATACCGTGTGGTGCGACCACCATGCCAAGCAGTCGATCCTCACGAAACATCAACGGCATTTGCTACAGACTGAGCGCGAAAAGATGCACAATATTTCGTTCGGATCATTTAAATCTTCTGACCATAATTACCCTGGCGGGTCGAAAATAAATCGGGGAGCGCGCCATTAGTTGTATCTGATTCCTAGGACATAGTAATGTGTTACGCGATAGTTGCTCCACCGAAGAAGCCGTATTAGACCAGATAGGCTTTCTACCGGGGGCTTTACTAAATTAAATGTCCCACTTTAAGCTGAGTTTTCGTCTCTGAGAAGCTAACAAACGGTTTGTGGCGAGTTATGCATGTATTTGTCAGCTAAATACAACCTCAAATTCGTTCAAACGCTAAAACATGATGTAGCGTCAAGGTCGGCTGCACCAGCGCTATTGTCTTAGTTGATGAATACAATTAAGCGCTGGTGTGGGACCTGACCTCGCATTTCCTACAATCACTTGTACAACGACATATTCGTTCGTTATCGTACAAAGCACAGGATTTTAACGTGTATTTCTTACACAAAAAACTTGCGAGTATGCTCCGGGTGTATGCGCTTAATCAGGCTGACATTACATGGATGAGTTTAATGAGTTCACTTACTGGGGTGATAGGAAAAAGCGTTCGGGCGGCAAATCTTGCAAAAAGTACAACCGTCTAGATCGGCTAATGCCACTGTCTCAAAGAATTCAGGAAAGTAAATGAGCCTCTCCTCCTACATACAAACGCATTTTGCAAATTATTCTGATATTGCATGCCCCCATCAAAACCTCGTAACAGCGTGGTCAACTGGCGCTGGGGTGCAGCAGAAGAGAATGTTTAATGTCTTAGAGGTAAAGGATTATACATGCCACTAATACTGCTCTTCAAATCCAGATCGACCGTTTTCTGTCATCTGTAGCGCTTGGAACTTTGCAATAGGCTTCGCTTAGCGCCAAACAGATTACAATAGGCATGGATGTGAAACCACATTTAGGTCTCGTTATCGCAAAGTGTCATAGCAGAAACATTCAGCTTATGATATTTGCTATAAAGTTTACCCTTAAACACAAATTTTGCGTCGCGTCGCACAGCGACGTCGCCATCACAACGCTTACAGTGAGTGGCTTAATGTTCATGCGTCTTTGCTGGTATACCTTTGAGGCGGGTTACAAATCGGGTTGGTTTGATGTGGCGGCGAATGCGCCTTTTTGCGTCGCTCAAATATATTTGTTGCATGTCGCAATGCATACGTTGCGGGTAATGAGAAAAATATACATCGTAGGTCAGATGCAAAAATGTAGCATTTAATCGCACGTTCACACTGTCATTCCTCATCAAAAACGCGCTGTAATATAGTACCACCGACCCACTTGAAACTTAATATGTGGTGGTAAATCAATGAGGACGTCATGTGCGGAGTATTGAACAACGTACATGATTCCCTGTTCGGTCGCCACCTCGGAAACAAAAAAGAAAACTATTTTCCGAGCGCTTTGTATTGAAGGTTCAGCATGTAATAGAGGATAAGCACTTTGTGTTTACGAACGTGTGAATCGCATCAACGCGATAAACTCTCGCTGCGTGTATCTGAGGCCGATTCGCCATTTTATGTACAACGCGGTGTCTGAAAAAGACGGCATATGTCGCCGCTGTTAGCGGCAACATTGCCAGTGAAGATATATCCAGGCTGTTCCATGACAAAATTACCGCTAAGGAAGCCGTTGATGATCGTTGATTTGATTTGACATTCGAGCCACATGTCGAACACACGTCAATCATGTGGTGAGAATATTCTCCAAAGCAATACCGCGGCTTATTTCCAGTCATGGGGATAATTATTCAGCTCGCGTTGAACAACGTATTGCTCTTCCAAAATGCTTGATCCCAATTTCTTCACGATTTATTTAATCCACGTATATCCTTGGCACAACCACAAAGGTGGCTCTCGTCTAGTTAAAGATATTAGTTGTATCGCTATGACTATTTCGCTTACACTTTGTAACAAAATTGTGGGTTCATTCCGAAGCTATCTTGCAGTCCGACTACACTTCGTAGCAAAGTGAAAAGCTATATTTTGAAGCAAAATTGCTTCCTGTCTACATTTCGCAGCAAGATAAAAATTTTATCTTGTATCAATTTGCCGTCAAGCTTCGAGTGTGTATCATATGGCTGATAAGCACAACGAAATGTCTTTAGAGCCTTTGGACCACAAATAAAATCAAGTGGCCATTGAATACCTGTAGCCTACGTACTTAAGCAGATTTACATTTTTTAAGATTGGTTGCGACCTCGTTACATTAAATCGTTTACAGTCCTAGCTAGAAAATAAGCGGCATTACATTCAATACATTAGAAAGTACCTCCTTGCTGTCTGGGGGCCAATCGCTCTACAATCTCGCATTTTGGAGCCAATTGGCTGCGGGGTTGTCTGTTGACGACAAAGCAACTTCTTAATTATATCTATCAATGAGATACTTTTTGATCTTGAGAAGCAATCCGATTCCTAAACTGCTTAGGTTTTTCAAGCCAATCGGTACGATTTCGTAATTCAGCGAGATCATCCAGAAATGCTTCATAAAAATTCCGGGACACCTGACGTGGCTTCATATTCGAAAGAGATAACGAGAGTCGGTTGCGGCAGGATTAAACTCTTAAAACTACCATTTAAGTTTCGTCAGGCAAGACGCCAACAAAAACAGTGGCCACTTAATCAGCACATCATATAGTGTTCCTTACATCATATCAAGGTAAATGCCTGGTCGACGTGATACCAAGTCCAAGGCTAAAGCCTCTGCGGCTGTCGATGCACAGGCGTATGATTCTAAGCAAGATGAACATCGGCTCTGGCTTCCATCGATGCAAACCTCATTGTCATTTCTTATACTTCCGCGTACTGTGTCCGCTTTACTGAGCCCAATTGCGGATTGTGACGAAACATTCAACTATTGGGAACCTCTCCACTATCTGCTCTACCGCTTCGGTTTTCAGACATGGGAGTATTCCCCTGTCTATGCTTTACGCTCCTACGCATATCTATTACTGCACTATGTAATAGTGAAGCTTGCGGCTTTTGGATTTACACTCGGACTATTACCTGGTCAGAAGCTCATGCTGTTTTATGGACTGCGTGCAACGTTGGGTTTGATCTCAGCCTATGCGGAGGCACTATTTTATCAGTCAATCAGTCGACGATTTGGACGCCGCACAGCGCGCTATTTACTCTTCATTTTATTCTTTAATGTCGGTATCTTTCACGCCAGCACAGCCTTCCTTCCAAGTTCTTTCTCTATGATGTTAGTCCTATTATTCAGTAGTGCGTGGATGGACCAAAAACACTACCTGGCGCTTTTTTGGGGCGTTGTGGCTGTGCTTTGTGGATGGCCCTATGTTGGTGTGCTCTTTATCCCATTCGCACTGGAAACGCTTTATACGCGAGGAATATTTAAGAGTGTATATGTTGGTGGAGTAATAGGAGGAGCAGTGCTGGCTGTCGAGTTGTTGGTTAATTTCTATTACTACCAACGGTGGGTACTGCCAGCGTGGAATCTCATTGTATACAACGTTTTAAGTAGCGAGACGGATTCCACGCTTTACGGCACAGAGCCGCTAAGTTTCTACCTCCTGAATTTGGCACTTAACTTTAACATCGTGGCTCTCCTCGCTGCACCTGCTGCGTTATTTATTCTCACATTACCTGGTCATAATAAAACGATCAAGGTTCAATTGCTGTTATATTTGTCGCCAATGTACGTCTGGTTGGTTATTATGTTCAATCAAGCACACAAGGAGGAGCGATTTTTGTCTCCTATCTATCCACTTATTTGTCTGGCTGCTGCTAGCACACTTAGCGCAGTGGTGTATCGACTTAAAAATGTCTTCAGCCGTGTACCAACTCTGCATACCGGAATACCAAACGTATTTGTGATGTGCACATTGAGCGTGTACGCGTTGCTCTCTGGTTCTCGCATCGTAAGCAACATTGTCAATTTCAGCGCTCCGCTTCGCGTTTACGAGCATTTATACGCCAGCGTCTTGCCAAATCCAGAGAACGGAAAGCTACAAATTGCTCATGATACTGCAACCCAATCTGTCAATTTATGTCTTCTAAAGGAGTGGTATCGTTTCCCAACTAACTTTTTTATTCCGTCAAACTCGACCCAAGTGAACTTTGTCAAAACTTCATTCTCTGGTCAATTGCCAAAAGCTTTCGAGCAACATTATCTCGGCACGTCGGTCATACCTGCTGCGATGAATGATCGAAACCAAGAAGAACCAAGTCGTTATGTCCTATTAGACACTTGTGATTACGTGGTTGATTTAAATTTACCAGATCAATCAGAGTTCAAATTCTGGACTGAACCTTCATCATGGACACTTGTGTATTCGGAGCCATTTCTTGACGCAGAACGTTCAAAATCACCATATCGATCGTTTTACATCCCGATCCTTACGCCACAGTATGTCAAGTACGCAGAGTATGCGATCTACAAGCGCGCGAAAGTTGCAGCAACTTAATATGTGGTAACGACATGATACTTTACTAGTAGCCTTGCTCATACGTTATCAGAAGCCTTGCTGTAATGATAAAGTATATTATAGCCCTTTTAAGAAATATTAATTGTTTTTATTTAGCGCAGGGTATTAAAAATATCAACTCGACCATATCCATACTGATTATTAGGGAAGCTTCGATCGTGAGTCTTACCACACGTAAAACCTGTCGGGGTTGTTAGCGAAGTAGTGACCGATCGAGATTGCAAAAGTTCTTTGATTTTATCATAAGAAGTTCCAGGGTTGGCACTTAAAAATAAAGCGATGGCACCAGCCACATGAGGCGCCGCCATGCTCGAACCGGACTTAAAGCAGTATGATGAATCATCTGTCCAGCATGACGACAAGATTAAAGCTCCTGGCGCTGCAACATCAGGTTTTCGTAACCCCTTTATGGTTGGACCTTTGCTACTGAAAGAGGCCAAAACGTCATTGATATCAGTTGCCCCGACTGTGATGACACTAGCTGAATCACCCGGTGATGCTATCGTACCACAGTTAGGACCAGTATTACCAGCCGCTACAATTGGAATGATACCTGCTGCTCGCCACGCGCGAATGACTCCATCGAACATTGTCAGACCTTGCCCACCACCCCAACTATTGTTTACAATATTTGGTGCTTTTGAGCAGTCCTTTCCAGTGCCACTGGGCGTTGTGGGACACAACATGAACTGAAAACATGCTAACAGGTCCGATCCGTAGCAACCCCGGGCTCGACAACCTTTGCATGCGATCCACGTCGCACTGGGTGCCACACCAAAGCCAAATTGACCAGCTATTATGCCCATTACGTGAGTTCCATGACCCGTTGAATCATACGGAGTAGGAGCTCTCGTTTCAGGATCGTACCAACCATAGCTTTTTCGAAAGTTATTTACTAGAGCCTCATGAGTACCACGCACACCAGTGTCGATAGAGCCAATCACGACTCCCTGACCTGTGTTACCAGTAGCCCAGACATCTGGAGCTTTAATCTTACTTACACCCCATTGAGCTGCAGACGTTGAAGCAGACATTGACTGAGTTGTAAGCACTGGTGTTGAAGCTGGAATAATCATTTCGAAATCTACGGATTGCACGCCCGGTAAGTTTGAAAGTTGCTTGACGAGGTCGGGAGTCGCCTGCTGTACATATACTTGATTTGTGATCCAGAAGCTCTCAGACCTTGCGAATTTGTCCCTTGCTTTGCTTAAGTGCTCGCGCACACCACGTTGAGACGCAATTGCAAAATTTTCAAGATTGTCTTTGAGCGTCGTCACGCGGTGACCACGCGAGCGAAACTTCTGGCCTCTTAACCTGGTAAAAACGTCCTTAAAATTCGACTGCATCGTGACCAATACGTTACTGCGCTTGTGTTGTCGTTGTTGCACTCGAGATTTGAGATTCGGGCCAGACTCCAAGTCACTTCGGCCAGAAGTCGATGCAAACGGCAAATCAGTTAAAAGTAACCCCAGTGGCAACATATACACTGCTAATAGCCATGAGCATTGGATCATTGATACACAATCTTAATACAACTACAACTTAATTGAAACGTGGTAGCCAGCAGTTTGTTTCTTTTGAGTGTCACGTATTGGCATGTGTGATTACTGGTCTCCAATGTCTAGAGGACGTGTCACTATTCTTAGTGTTAATGCTTACATTTGTGAACTAGCGGGCATCAACAGCAAGGATCGACAACGTATTTTAAGCCGCCGCGTATATTTATAATGAGCTTACGACCAATATAAACGTCTTTTCCGATGCTTCAGTCACATCATAGCCCACTTCTAAACTAATTGTAAAATCTATTAACAGCCATCATAGTTGCCAGAACTCGTAAAAGGTTTGGGCTTCATCCATGGCAGCCTCTGTCGCTGCTTGATCGATTTTGTCTTTGATTGTCTCGTATCTCTTCTTACTAGACGGCACAACAAAGACTGGCGTAGACTTGGTATGACGAAGCTTACTGCGCGTAGTAAAAGTGGATCCTTTTGGGGTCAAGTCACATCGCGTAATGATGCTCGAAACTCGTTTCGTCACAGATTGTTGTTCTCTGTGAACTTTCTCGTGATAAATTTTGGAATCAAAAAAGTCACGCCAGCCTCGTTCGTCTGCATACAAAATTGCAAACATCAGTCCAACATTACATTTACACTTGCTGCGTGACCGTACCATTAAAATCAGGGAGTTTGACGAGTAAGAGTTCCGCTCCAGAATCGTATCGTGCGCTTTCAGTGGTGTGTGACTGTCTCTTTCGAAGCTCTGCTTGATGTGCACCCACAGCTTCAATCCCTTCATTCAATGACCCTTCCCATGTTTGCCGATATATTCTATCTAACGTCATCGGTGTAGAAAAGTCTTTACTTGCATGTATCCTGTCCTTGCTTGCTTTCAGATGACTCTGACGTCGCTTTCTGTTTTTAATTCCTATATACGGCAGCATTGAATACAACAGCAGCGCTACAGCTAACGTTCCTCCACAAAGTGCCGCCGCTCGACTCTCATCAGTTGGATCTGAAAAGTTCGGACACTGCAGCTGACCTACAGCAATGAGAAATGCCCCAACCTCTGGAGGACAAGTGCCTTCTCCTTCCCCCATAGAGATAGCAATGTTATTATCAAACAGAGTGGAAAAGAGACAGTGTGCTATTTATCTCATGTTGTAGATCGAAGGATAAGTTGACGATAAGTAAACTAACGTTAGCTTGCGGTTTCTGGCGAACGAAGCGTCAGTGTTTCTAACATGTTGAGCTGTGTGGCGAAGTTGACGTGTTTTAATGTGATACATTGTTGTCGTCGTTGCCAATTGTCATTTTGAGCATCTTAATCATTTAAATCAGGTCAGAGTGTTGACATATCACGAGAATGTTTTATGTCGAGCCTATGACATGTGTCGGAGACATAGTACATAGAAGCGAATAATAAATGCCACAGTACTCGTCAAAGTCACAATGTAACTGTTCTTCGGCTTTATGCGTCACTAAAACAAGATCCTCGCATTATTAATATTTGTTAATATTCATTTACGTATTTGTCGAAGGATAACTTTCGTACAAATTGTTGTCACGTAAAAAAGTTGGGCTTCAAGTTCAAATGCCAGAACAAATCTTAAACCGCAACATCAAGCCTAACAAGGGTTCAGCGGAACAGCTACATTTTCAAGTTGTTGAAGGAGAGCGTCTGACTTGAAGAATTGTGAGTGTCAGCCATCTATATGTCTTGGATTCTGGATTTCTAAAGTCAAGGTGTTCACTATGAAAGACTTAGATTGCTTTACAGCTAATTACATTCATAGATTTATTTAATATTTTGTTCAGATCGTGACCATAACAGAGCACGTACTCAATTATGGCACATAGTGAATTACCGTCAATAAGCATTGTGATTAAGTATTGGGTTGTTTGTGATCCGAAAAAAAGGAATACCTGTGACACTGGGGGTGCTCTTCCGCAACGAGTTATGAAAATTTCAATGTTATAGATTGTAAATTAGATGTCATTCAAACCAGCTTAAATATAAAAAACACTATGTGATTGGAGCAAGGGTAAGCACTAGGTACTTGAGGTGCTCAAATTGGCACTATAAAGATGGCCGCTGAACTCATCCTCTGTGCGTTGCTTAGCCTGATTCTCAGAGTCAAGGTGTGTGGGTATGCATTACACATCAACACACATTTATGTAATAGCAACATTAATTATATATCTAGGCATTTATCAATCTAGGGAAGGTTCAAAGCCTATTGGCCATGATAAATGTCACTTCGTCCTTTCGCGTAACTCGACGGCTCGCTGGAAGCGAGTAACACGCAGTTAAGCGTATGAACCGATTTAATTCTTCTTCAGTATGTGCGTGTAGACGGACGGGCAATTTCCTTTACACTTGGTTGCACTCGTTATTATTCCAAAGTCGACTCCTTCGATGTATTCATCTATGGACAATGGGGACAACACAGGTGGTAGATAAATCAACAGGGAGAAGTAATCGTTCCTAACACACCCGTGGTGGGAGTGTGTGGTGAAGTTGCAAGCCTCAATCGGAAAACTCGATTACATGTTCCAATTGGACCAAGAAGCGATAACTCAACGCTTAGCAATTATTTCTGGTAGGAGAAATGATCGCTGGGACCTTTATCCAAGAACATACCGACGCTGGATGCGTCACCTCCACCACAAGTGGCTGCAACACACGGAACGTCCCGTGAAATCAATGTGAACAGCTCTCACGGAAACGAAGATGAAAATCTTGCATTTTGGCAGTAAAAACGGGCATCGCTATCGCGATGGCCTGAATTTGTGATGACTGCAGTCAAGTGTCCTTCACCATGTCACATTTGAATGCCGTGCGAGAGATTGGGCGATGGCATGGGATGTCAACTGCCCCGGCTACTTTCCGCATGGCATGAGTTGAAGAGGGTCATGGACTCGATGTTCTTTCCGCAGAATGTGACATTTCAACAACGGTCGAAGTTCTTGTCGCGCCGTCAAGACAACAGCATATTGTACGATTATGTTTCAGTATGGCAAGCGAACCACTGCCAGGGGCACTGATGGTCACTGTGTCGATGGATGTAGTCACTTATGGTCCTCCTAAGACTGATTTTCTTTCGCTAGAGTTCAACGCCTCTGCAAGATGCAATTATGATTGCATTGCGTGAGGAATACTGCCAACGTCAAGCACGTGGTCAATCGATCAATGCAATGAAAGCAATGAGTGCTTCTTCTGGAAATTTAGAGCCAATGGATCTCATCATGGGGGCTGCCCGAAGGCAGCAAGTTCGCTGTTACGGATTTCAGCATCCGCCGTGATTGTCCACCTGGGAGACGAACTTCACAATACAGCTCTCATCGTAGTGGTTCCGGGCCACGTGGTATCAATATCACAAGAAGTTGGGAAACACCGGTACCCAGTAGATGAAGGGCGGTCAACTAGGGTAGTTATAAATCTTGTGGGCGTCGTGGTACAACCACTCATGAGGTTTAGCCTTCGAAGGATCGCTGTTCTTCGTCAACGACGCGAATCGAAGTGGTCTTCTTGTGGTCACACCAAGTGTGAAGGGTAACGGCCGTCCATTTAGAGTTTTGGTTGCATCTGGTGGTCGCTTACCAACGCGTAGAATCAAAGTGTTGCTGAAAAGTTCAGTGATTTTGGATGCGCAAAATATTAGCAACAGCTTTATCTCATTTGCTCACTGATGCGGTGGTCACCGCTAAGAAAATTACGGTTAATTTTCAAGTGAGTTTTGAAGGCCTCAGCTCGAAGAAAGTATTCACAGTCCTCGAGACTGCCGAAAGAAGCATGGACCATGGATTGACTGGCGATTAAGACTAGCTCTCCTGGCGTGGGTAGAATCCTGGGAGTAATAAACCCACAATCATCATGCACCGGGAGAAGCATTCAAGCGATCGGCAGTTCTATGGTGCAGGTAATGATCCATTCTCTATTGCTATATGTCATGCAGAAGACATTTTCCAGGTTACGGAACAAACAAAAATAGTCTTATGATGTCACCACTGGTGGCCACTCAAGATGTGTGTCGACAGATCAAAAGGTGGCCGTAACTGGCCCCATGAAATCGAACAAATCCTTGGTAGGCAATTTGCCAAACGCGAAGTGCAGCGTGGGTGCCGTGACGCTTTGTTGACCTAGCGATCTTTCCAAGAATCAGTACGTCTGTAGCGAATCGTAATCCGCTACCTCCAAGTACTAAAGTTTTAACCAAGGTACGACGCTCTTTCGTTCAAAATTGAAACTGTATTTAATTGTTTTAGTTGTGGCAGAGCCGCCAGTATCTAGAACCTGAAGTTTTCCGAATTATATAGTAATACATAATTATTATAGTAAAACCTAATTGATATGCATTACTGCTGGCAATTCTGCCACGTGGTGGCTTCTTATTACAATGTAGCCACACCACTGCTCAATTACACCAACTTATGTAATTCACACTTATTTACGGTCAAACCATCCTGTACGACCCGCCTTCCATACAAGAGTACGTGTACCCCGTTACACAAAGAATATATGGAAAGATATGGCGGTTGTTGCCCCCTCACAACGGAAGATGTTGTCGACATGTGAGTACTGGAAGGTCGAAGGAACCAACAGATGCAATTATTACCACTAATATAGTGGCTGAGTCGGATTGTGGGTCGTTGGGTATAACTGACGACAAAGGTGGTGCTCCTGCCCGTCGTCGTTTGGTTAAGCAAACCCATGTTATAGAATCATTGGAATTTGTTGAGGCACTGATACTCTCGCTCTGGATTGGATTGAGTTCGCGGGTAAATATCATCATCCACCGAATGTCCGGCTGTACACAATTTAGTGTGCTTGACTTGGGTGATAGATATTACCAAATCTTGATGAGTGAGGAGGACGTCCCTTTGAAGGCTGTAAGAGCACCGTCCGTTATGCTATGGGAGCGGCTTTTTATGCCACAAGGACTCTCCGACGCCCCAGCAACGCTTGCTTAATTGGTATCCCATCTGTTTCGACCACTGCTACGCTTCGCACAAACCTATTTTGACGATTTTTTCGCTCATTGAAAGGACGAAGATGGCAGTGCTAATGAAGTACCTATCCTCGGTTGTTATGTTAGTGTCTACACGGATTGGCGAATGCCTCGAAACCAAATGGATTTGAGGAAATGGATTAATTTGCTCAATTGCCCGTATTGCTTCTCGTGCGACTTCGCGGAAGTGCACGCCCACTGTCAAACTTGCTGAAGAAGGACGTACATGGAAGTAAGTGAAGAAGAACTCACTCAAATCAATAACAGTCTGATAGAAGCATAATTACTTACTATACCTGATGGTACGGATCCGTATAGCGTGGTTTGTGATGCTTCTGAATTTACAATCGGTTGTGCACTATTGCAAAAGGCCTCAAAAGGATCGTGTCGTTTTGATCGTGGCAGCTAACGCAAGTAGAAAAGAAAACCCTTTCTATGAAAAGAAGCGTTTGGTAATGGTATATGCTCTCGTGGAGGCTTATGTTCACCTCTTGTATTTTAACTCCGTTTTCGTCTGCAATGTAATACAAGCTTCCGATATGCAGTCTAGTATCCTCACTTGTCTCTGCGGATGGCTCGCAAATTATCATTTTTGCAGGATACAATTTCAAAATTGCGTATAAATTGGGAAACTGAACGTGGTGGATGACACATTGTCACGTCGTCCGGAAAATGAGCTAGCCCCTATTAGCTATATCGAAAACGATGCATTCGATATGAAACGTCGAGCGTATGTCAAGGGTAACGAGGTTACACGTACCCTGGTAACAGATGTGTGTATCACACGAGATGGGCATGTCGACTGCACCCAAATAGTAATACGATACTTGGCTGGGAAACAGTAGTTATGCATATATTTAGATTTACTATATATATTTCGGAAAATCCATACATTCAAAATTAGCCGGCTTTGCCGCAGATAAAAATAAATACAGTCAGTTTGGATTTAAACGGAAGAGTTCATTAGCCTTAAGTTAAGGCAATAATTACTCTTGGGGTTAGCGGATTGCGATCCGCTAAACTCGTACTTGTTCTATAAATTAAACGAAAGGTCGGCGACCAAGCATACGCTTCCTCGAAGCGCAAAGCTACGGTAGCCCCGCTGCATTAAAGATGAACAGTGTGATCTGATCATCAAGGCACTCTCATCGAATGATATGTAACACTATGACAAGTTCTCTGGTCACTTGAAATTACGGATGCATTGATACGTATTGAAGGATGGTCCCATTTTTATGAAGCTGTACATAGCGAAGAGCCACGGATTTTAGTTGCAATTTAAAACACAAGATTGTGTTCGATGGGCATGATATGCCGATGGCCTGTCACTTTGGCCGTGAAAAGATCTACAAATTTCTCTGTGTCCAATTTTTGTGGCCCCGCATGCACAAGTGCGTTGCACGATATGTGAAGACATGCGATGTCTGTCAGCACGGGACGAACGCACGGCACACGCAAGTGCCACTGCAGAGACCTTCTGTTCCAAATGACTGCTGGAAGTCAGTCTGTCGCGACTTTCTTTTCCGTTCCCTTGAGAATGGTGATGGTCACAATGGAGTGCTCGTCTTCGTCATCAGATTTAGCAAGATGGTTCGCGACGCTAGATGTTGCGATTCCATCCATGCCGAAAGTTCAGCAAAATTGTTCATAATTGCAAGCACGGGTTGCTAAACGCCATCGTTGCTGATCGTGATACACAAATCACAAGTGGCTTTCTAAAAGAACTGTTTTGAATTCTTGGCACTCGCTTGGATATGCACACCCGGAGACCGATGGGCAAACAGAACGTGCCAACAGCGTCGTCGGTGATATGTTGGGAAGCTTTTGCGTGGAAATTCTCGCAGAATGAAGTTCGTCTTTACATTTGGTTCAGTCTGCTATGATCATTCATCCACTGAATTAACGCCATTTTATATGAATGGCTTGCGATTCCCGGAAGTACCACTCTGTGCGAAGGATGGTGTCTATGTTGTAAGTGGCATATATTTGCCTCTCGAATCAATACAATCAATGTGAATGTGAAGTGCAAGTTCAAGGACGCCCTTAACTCATTCATCATGAGTCATGTGAATATGATCACACGTGTGCGAGGTGCAGTGGCGAATGCGAAAGACTTACAAAATGAATACGCAGAGGTCGTCTAGGCAAAATATCTTTTATTGTTGAAGATTATGGACTACTTAGTTCTAAGATACTATCAGGCGATACGATCTCAATCTTGGGAAGCTCGCAGCAATCAACTTATTTGATCAGTCCATTCTGAGTAGTGTCATGCATGGAAATGCTTACAATTTTCACCCGCCAGACTGTCTAAGCACACATCGAACGTTCAACATAGGGTACCTCAAGCCGAATTATTGAGACAACGCGACTTCCGACCTTGATGTATCGCAAGGTTTTGCGAATACGGCTTCAAAGTCAAAGCCTCGCAACGAGGGTCAAAAGTTGGACCCTCACCTCAGCATCATTTTCAGAATTGTGAGGATTCTCGTGAAATTTGTGACCACACAAACGACCGTGAAACGTCAAAAAGAAGCAGATGAATGCAGATTGCGCTAGTGATTACAACGGGAAGCACATCAACCCGAGCCAGAGCGAAGTAATTTGAATGGAGGCTTCACATCATCAGCAACAGCCGCAGCAGGAGGAGGGGGAACTTGTAGAGCCTGCTCTAATCGCCGTATCCGATTCCCGATTGCATTTAATGCGATATTCCATGACGCCATGCCAGATCGAAAACGTCGCAGACGACCTATCAGATATCCCTCACGCGTTGTCGCGTTCCGACACGCGATCGAATGCCGTGATCATCTGCCGATTTCCCTCGGAAAGGTTCTTGTTCATCTTCGTCAATCTGGTACGAAATCATACAAAGATTATGTAGCAGCCATTAACGAAGCAGAGAAGACGTCTCTTTGGGCACCTCCACCCTTATTGATCGATATGGAAATCAATACTTCCATGACGACAACAAGTTGGCGGAGAGGAGCGCTCGCGGTCGAAAGAAGCTCTTGGTGAAATGTCCGGGGGCTATCCAGCGAGCGAGACTACGTGGGAGGCTTGCAGTCGAATTATCCACGACCGTCACGAAATCTTTCTCGCCTTCAACACGGGCCCAAGCGACTCCGCCCAGATCCGTCCCATCCTCTTCTTTCTCCCCCTTTCGTCATGAATACGACTAATGACCGCACGTACTTCGCAAACACCTCCGATATCTTACAAAAATAGAGTTTTAGAGTCTAAGAATGTTTAAAGTCAGTAGCCCGGATGCTGAGGATGGGCTTGTAAATGATACAGGCAATACATATTTTCCGATGGACGAACCTTTTAATGAGCCGTCATCGCTCAAAAATCTTACGTCGTTTATAGATATGGAGCACGCTCAAATCAAGGTGAGCTTACAGGTACTGTAGTGAAGGACTACGCACTCGCACAAATCTTCATCTTTGACGAAAGGATCTTTTTAAAAGAGAATTGCTCGCACTCAAATTGGGGGTAGAAAGAAAGGAATTATAGCTTTCCTTGCAAGCAACTCTGATGGATCAGAAATGAGAATATGTTGCTGGATCGATGAAGGTTCTAAGGAAAAAAACCATTTTATGAGCTCAGGCTCAGCTTCATGAACAGAAAAATAGAAAAAGCATGCATACAGTGATCTTTTTTGCAAATGGCAATACGACTTTATCATTGGCAAGGAACGTTGTAATCATCACGTTGTTCTTCTCAAGAATGATGCGTCCTCAGATCGTTTTGTTTCGTCGGTGTTGAGAATGTTTTATTGCTTCTTTTACGTCCAAGTACAACTATCAAATCGCGACAGCCAGATACAAAAATTATTGCTGTACTGTAACGATATCATCATGATCAATATCTTCAACAAGTAGTGGGTTTGAATTAAGAGAGCAATATATACGCATCTGCACATTTCCATTTAGGATTTAGCCGATGTCTTGCCAGAAATTTCGACCGCGAGCTTGTGGTGGAACTTATGAAGTCAACAGAAAATATGCGTGATCCCTCATCAATCGCCGTTCGCAAAAAGATGCCAACAGTATCTTGCAAGCAAGCAGGATCAATGTCTGATGCCGCCAAGAACTCGTAAAATTTAATGTAAATAACAGTCTATGTTTGCTGTACTGGGGGCAAAACACAGAAATTCAGCCTTTACAGTCGCGGAACTGTTGAGCGATTCAATATATATATATATTATTTGAGGCGACTACGGGGAGTCTTACAATCAACGCTGCGGTAGTCATGGACGATATCTTGACATTAATCGCAAAACAACCTATCGATGCAGTTTGGAGGGTGATTTCGATACTTGCTGACCGCAAAAGCTGATGTTTGAGAAAAAATTGTAGCAAATACGAACAGAAAAAGAGCAAGCGCTAATCATGGCAACGATCACGCCGTTTTCTCTTACTGCATGCACGTAAAGTAAAAACCGCAAACTTAGTATTCTTAAGAATAATACCAAGGTAAGCGCTTAGCTTACAACGCGCTATTATATGCCACGGTTTGCTCAGGTTCTCAGCCGTATCATTGATCATCTCCGTCATCGACAACGACTTGACCCAAGTACTTTTGTACCTAAAACTCAATGGACTGATAAGCGAAAAGTCGAATTTTGCCAGTGTTGTAGTAAACATTTTGGTGCCGTCAAACTACTTGATACCCAATTTGTTACCAATCCCGTGTATGTGTCAGTATCAGATATAGTAATATATCAGCCGTGAAAATAAACATTCTGAAAAAATTTTACTCTATAAATAACATATAGACGGTCTTCAGCGATGAGTGTATTGGCCGCAAAATATCCACGATTTGCGTAAGTAATGGAATAGGTGACAGGCAGACACAACTACAGGCTCCCTGCGATTGACATTCTATGAATGAGTACCGATGTGACTCACAATCACGCAGCCTACTATATATATGACGCTAATAAAGGGCTCCAGGCCGTAGCCATTTGTTTTGTTTAATTCATCTATGCAAGGCACTTGGACTCTGACGCCAGCCCTGTTATTACTATCACGATGCTGAACTCATACCGCAACAGGCCACCTTGACAACGTAGCTCAAATACTAGATCATAGAGCTTAGCTCGAAGTTTGTAGCCCGAATCTGTCTGTCGTTAATATGATATGAAGATGGAAGTATGTGATGATACTGAGTTTATTTTATGTGAAGGAACTGGAAGAGTGATGTATAAAGTATATCCTACATTCATTACGCATTATTTTATAGGTATTGTAAACAGACTATTTCGGGTACATGTTGTGTATATTTTGGCTATGAATTCCAAAACAATTGAGCTAATAGAAGTTAATTTTATCGCCGTCATAATCTCCATTAACTTGATAATCTGGGCTCTTATCAAAAGCCCGTCAGAACGAATGCAGCGTTAGCGCGCCATCTATTCCATTGACAAACCACAGGTATGGTTATGGGCTCGCTGCAAGCCGATGTATGAATAACAACATCTGCTCCTTAAATGTCTTGATAGTTCTGTTTCGGGTAGCATCCGCTTATCAGCAAGCTGATATGACGATTACCGCTGAATAATATACTGATTTGGCGCATTTCGTTCAGCGGTAATTGGTTTGTGGCGCCAAACGAAGCCAGATGATGTGTAATATTTCACAGCACAGGGTTTCCTGAGCAAAAGCTTGAAATTTTACGCTTAATATGTAACGGAGTTACACGTGCCCTTGTATTATACAGTTAGTGTAATAACACAGTGGTGTGGCTACATCGTAATAAGAAGCCACCACATGGCAGGATTGCCACCAGTAATGCATATCAAATAGGTTTTACTATGTTAATTTGGTATTACTATATAATTAGGAAAACCTAAGGTTTTAGATATTGGCGGCTCTGCAGCAACTAAAACAATTAAATGCAGTTTCAACTTCGAACGAAAGAGAGTCTTAACCTGGTTAAGGCTTTAGTACTTGAGGTAGCGGATTGCTATCCGCTCGCACTCGTACTGGCTCTTGGAAAGAATGTAAGGTCGGCGACCTTTGCTTAACGTTCTCTGAGCAAAGAGCTACGGCAGCCCC